CTACACTAGGTAAGTGCGATCCCCCGATAAAACATCTAGGATATACATATTTCGTGTACTAAAATAATATTAATAATAACAAAAGTACCATATTCATAGACATACCAGTACGTTACATGTATCAAATATACTTTAATGCTACATTTTATTTGTGGCTCTATATTTGTGCTCCAATGTCAAGATGCATTATAGCCCAGGTGAGTTTTATTATTCTATATGTATAAATGATAGTAAAAACAAGTAATGACAAGGCTGATTTTTATTTTTTTAACTCTTGACTTAAGGGTTTTACCGATCTAATTGAAATTGAATCAATTTGTACTTCAATATTTCTTGTCACTGGAGAACGTCATTGGCTTATTAGTTAATGAAGGCTTATTTATAAACAGTTATTACAAAATCAATAGACTTTTGTTGTTCTTCCAACATATTTTTCCACATCAGTCAGTCAGCCTTGAAACTTGGAGTGAGTTAGACTTTCATCCGTAAAATACAATAATTAAACATCAATAGTTCATATTTTGAAGCTTATTAAATTTTGTTTGACTAAAACTTTTTTTTCCGGCCTATTTCATTAAAAGAAATTTGATTCTAAATCAAAAATTTTATTATAAAATATACTTTTAAAATAATATAGTAGATTACAAAGGATATTACACTTTAATATTTTTACAAAAAACTCATTAAATAATTTTCTATTAAAAAATCCATGAAAATCACTCATGAATATGTTAGTTTCATTGTTGTACATTTTAGAACATACCGGTATTGTATTAGTTACAAATATAGTTGTAATAGAAATACTCAAAAAATATTTTTTTTTTAAATCAACTTATACCTCGTTGTTGGGATGTAAGAGTACCATGAACTCTAAATCTATAAATACACGTATATTTGGTATTACCACTATTCGAGTGTATTTTTAGTTCGACGATTTCATAAGATTTGTTAGGTTCGTTCTGTGGAAAAAGTAGGTTTGTTGGTAAACTTCTGAACAATATTTTTTAATGTTAAAAATACCTTTGCTTGAAAGTACTGAACTCGCACTCCAGAATTATCGTATCTGTATTCACCAAACAAAAATCCATTTGTATCGTCGATATCGTTCAATCCCTATTTAAAATAAAAATGTTATACTCTTTTTATAAACAAAATTAATTGTGCACATTTTTTTGAACACCAAAGAAAATACTTTTAGTACAAAAATACCTTAATTCACCATAGAAAAAATATGTGTTTCGGTATTATAAGAAAAATTGATCTACGGCATGTTTGGTGCAAACTAACCCATACTGAAAAATCCTTTGGAGCTGTGCTAGTTTCCCCGGTTGGCGCGATCGTCGCCGATATGTGCTCAAGGCTGAATCCAGAAACGCGCACTGGCCCTATGAGCTGAATCACCGCAACGCCTTTGTCACCCTTAATGGCCCAGCACTCTCCCGGCAGCGTATTTGCCTATCAACAGACGTAAACATTCACATTTCACAACATTTATAACCATTTTGCAATTGCATCAAATATTCAAACAATTATAGTCGATTGTAACCTGTATAATCGCTCGTGGCGTATTCTGCTGCGCACAAATGGCCATGCCGAAAATCTTGAGTTGTGGTGCACCGGCGTCGTAAGTCTGAGTATCTCTAACCGTCAAAACCGTGCCACCTGCGTGAATAACAATCTATGAATGGTTAGCTTGTGACCGGCAAAAGTGTATTTCCATCGAACCTAACAGCTCGAGAGCGTAATCGGTTTTCCCGGCGTGGTCTTCGCTGAAAGCTTCTAGCTCTGTTCTAACCAAATCCTTGAGGTTACCGGCTGACTGTTCTAGTTTGTTTGCATGCGTTTCGATTACTGTTGAAACGACAAAGGCGTGTACAACGATTTGTTTGAATAAAATCCATCAATTTAGTTAAATGTGGTTGCATGTCATGAAAATCACCCTCAGAAATTTCAGTCCTCAAATGGAAAATAGCTTCTGACAGTTTGGGTACCACGAGACTAACCTCCGTCAGTTGGTTTTTGAACTCATCTTTCGATTCCATCAATATCCTTACCTCTTCCTTGGATTCAAATTTGAAATGTGCACGAGATGAATTAATTTTTTTTTTTCATGATTATCAGATACGATGATACTTGCTGAGACAATATTATACCATTAGTAGGTTCAAGTTACTCCTTAAGGTACTCAAATCTGATCTCACGTTTTCGAATGAATTGCTCGTCGAGTACTTTTCGCACAGATGAGACATAGACAAGGCTGAAAAACGTTTGGTCCAATAATGTATACTTCACAATATGAGCTCTGAAACTCAATTGAAGCATTTTTCTATCGAAACAAAAATATGGGATGATTATTTACCCAACAGAACCGAGACAACGAAAGAGAAAAACGGCTTGAGGTATTTGCAATACTTGTTATTTCTTCGAGAACCACCTTGTGTTGAACAATCATTCGGGCTCAAACCAGAAGCACATTGACAATTCATTGGATTTATTGCTCAAAAGTTATTGTTTACAAATTGAGCTTTTGACACTTTTGGGTATGAATATACGATTCACATTCACGTGTGCACCTCAACTATCAATATCAGCCATCTTCACTTATTTTTAATTAATCCAATGGTATCGTGACAAATCAAAATTAAAATAATTTATTGCGTGGTCGTAGATTAAAACAACTATAAACATTTAAAAAGAAGAAAGCTATTGATATCTAAAAAATAGTTCTCAATCATTTTTTTTTTTTTTTAATGCTTCATAAATTTGAAAAAATTTAAAGGCATAAAGTTTTAAAAAGACGAGGAAAAAAAAAGATACTTAGTTGATCTCCGGTCTGCTCTTTTATTAAACTTATAGAATATTAGTTGGCCTTTTACGCCTGAAATCGGTGATGANTAATCAGTCCTTATATATATAGAACCATAACGATATCGTTCTCGTGTTACTTCGGTGTTTATCGAAATGTGCCCTATCGACATCGCATCGGTCAACACGATCGATTTCATCCACCCACAGTACCAGTCTCACGTCGAGCGCATGAAAAATTTTTTTAGTGGATTTTACGTGCACGCATACACCGGAAAAATGAGCATTGTACGCGTGAGGCGAGACTCTCTCCACATAAATAATTGGCTTGGTTCTCACTACGCATTTACAGCAGGTGATTCACGTTTCACGCCTCTTAAAACACTCCAACAGTTTTTAAATACCACATAGTATTTTTGAAGGAGAAAAAAAATCTTTATTAGGTCGATAAAACATCTAGGATATACATATTTCGTGTACTTATTGATTATAGTGCTTTTTTACGAAGCCATGATGTGTATGCATGTATGCGTTGCATTTTTTAGATATTTTTTCTTTTTAAGAAATAAAATATTTATTTTAAGGATGGTAATAATTACTTAGAATGGAAAAAATGTATTGAAAACGTAGTTTTTGAATTATTTTATAGTATACTATACGTTTATCGTTAAAACCATTTCGATTGACAAGTATACTCGTCGTTCACCTTTGCTGTTGATTTTTCTAATCAATTGACTATTAATCTTCTACCTCGACAACGTGACCGGGAGATTTTCGTGAGTTGGTTCTGACATGTGTATCTGCAGCATATTCATTGCAGTACTCTGCAATACGATCTATTTTTTCAATTTCTTCTGCACTGAATTTCTTACGTCGAAAATTAATTCTAGGTAAAAAATCATTCTTCAGTTTTTCATAAACTTTTATACTATTTGATCCCAACATCAAAGACTGGAGCGAGTAATTCTGGAAATAAACATCATTTAGGTAAAATATATCTAAATCAGCATTATTGTCTGGAGGTTTACTTACGGTTAGGCATAAAGATTGAGGATTTATGTTTAATGTTTGATAAAAATAATCAAGTGCTTTATTCATGTCGTTTTCTTTGATCCAGAAGCAAAAGGCCAAATCTAAGAAAATAGGCTGCAGTTTATGTTTTGTAAAATGTTCGTATTTATGCAGCATTTTTGACAAATAGGAGGTAACGTCAAACTTCTTATTTAATTTAATCAAACATTGTACGTATTGTCTTTCAGCAGATAAATTATGTGATTTCTCAACGGCTTTTTCAAAACAGTCTTTAGCTTCCTAAAATGTAAAAACATAATTTAATGCAATATTATTATTAAATAAAGTCTAATAATATTGATAAACGTATGAAAAGCTATAGTAGTTTTTTGATACTGCAAGAATTAATAAAAAAAAATAAATAAATAAAAAATAACTAACTAAATCATGACAATGTTGGTGTATTCAAAGCTGATGTGTAGAGAGCAGGATGTTTCCAATAGGTGCTCAAACACAACAAAAAACAGTTGCTATTTGCGATTACTCGTGAGGCAAGAAGTACTGCGTGTTGAACAACATTTGTATAGTAAGTTACATGTGTACTTCACGTTTGATAATACCCCTAAATTTCTCGGAATTTGTGACGAAAAGTGGCAACTGTTTTTTGTTGTATTTATTTCGTTGGCTCGAGTCTCGAGCCTCTGATTGACCTTGTATACACAGAATACAACAAAATTATCTATCTTACGTATCGAGAGCACAACTAGGATTTTTTGACACCAATTGATAAAATTACCTTAAATTTTTTGGTCTTCATGTAATAATTCCCGTAATAATGCATGTACATGCTTTTTTTGCGCCATTTATCTCCAACTTTATCAAGACATAATTTTGCCTTTTCGAAACTTCCTAACTGTGTGAATCCTAACGCAAGTTTTAACAAAACTGAATCATTCATGTCAGAAATATTGTTTATTACATCTTCATACAAAACTAAAGCTTTTTCATTTTCCCAATTTTCTCTATAAAGCCGTGCAATTTGTAGTTTATATTGTTGAAAATTTGAAAGTTTGTATGCTTTCAAGAACATTTCTTTTTCTTCACGACTTGGTTTCGAACGCACAGTTATATCACGCCGATTTTTTCGTAAAGTTTTTGCCAAAATAAAATACCATAAATGGCAATTTGGACTCTCTTCAAGCACTTCGCGGATCAACGGCTCTGCACCGTCATCGGTTAATTTATTGTTTTTCAACCAGCAAATGGCTTTGCATGCTAATAAAGTACTTTTATTTTTTTTGGAATCGAGTTCCACATTTTGGATGTTTGTTAGAATTTTTAGCATTTCATCGTGCATTTTTAACTTTTGGTAAACAAAACAAGTTGTGCCTTGCAAAACATAATTAAGTACTTCATACGAAATTTCCGGCTCATTCCTGAAAGTAATTGATGTATCGTTACATTTAACAAATATATGACAATGAGAAATGATCGTAAGGGTTGAGTGATGTACAAAAAATATTACAATTCTTGAAACTTGTCAAGGTGCACCTTGCAGTTTTCTAAATACTTGTCAAAATACTCCGATATCCGTTGAGTTTCGCCGTTTTTCGATGCAGTCACGTACATACACAATACGTTGTTCATCAGTACGATCAATGGGTGGCTGTGGCTCTCACTTTCATCACAATTGTCTTCGTGAACTACTTCCCAGAAATCAACAATGCAACTCATGTTCCAGGTGAACGGGCATTCCAGTGTTTTCAACAGTTCATCGCATGTCCGTTCTTCGTGTGGTATCATTTTTTTTCCAGCATCCATTTTATACAAGTTAATGCTACTTGTTTTTCTTGGCGTGATAGCAAATCTCTCCAATAAATATTCACCACACACTCACTTTTACTTAAAATTAAAAACTTTTGCGAAATAAAATATACAAAATGACTTTCCCCACACAATATACATACATTTATTGTATGTTTGCTTACGATTGTTGCTACGAACGTACGAACCTAACAATGAAATAAAATCTTTGTAATGCTTTACATTGACTACAGTATTATGTTTTTCATTCCAATTAGCGTTCGTCAACTGTCGCGCGTCCACGGCGTTCAACCCAATATAGCGCGATGCCTGTAGGTATGCATGCAAATATATATACATATAGCTCTTACATATTATATACACCTCCAAATTTAACTAAACAATGGAAAAGTGAGTCACAATTCTTTACTACCATTCTACCAACTTACGGTAGATGTACAACCACAATGTACTACTACCATTAAATGTACATAAGTATATAGTCCAGGAAACATATATTATATATATCTTGTAGCCGATACGATTTTTCAGATCGGTACAGGATGACGACAATTTGAGTAGTGAACTCGAAATGTAATTAAAAAATTTAACAAGGCAATTAATAAGGTACAATACATGCGGTAGTGCCGTATTTTTATTATCATTTTTAATAAAAACCCGAAAGCACTGTTCCAATATAGGGTTCAGACGGATATCCCAGTTGTAAGGGGATGTCGATTGATAAAATTGATCAGATGAGAGGGTGTTAGGGTGGAAAGACTCTTGCCTACTTACCAGAGCCTTGAAATATCTTGCTAACAATCGGGCAGAGATAATGAAGAGTTACGAATTAGGTGCGAGGTACTGTTCTAAAATAGTATACAAATAGGGCGGGTGGGATACATTTAAATGTACTACATACGTACATAAATCAATAAACATATTAGTTAAGAACTAATCATCTAATTATTACAGTAATGCACTATTTTTTTTTTTTTTTTTTCATTTTATCTTGATATAATCAGTCCTAGCAGGGCTTTTACAAGTACATTTATAGGAACATTAAACTATACTTCATTTTATATGAGTTCTTACGTTAATCGTAATATCTGCTGTTAAAATTAGACTTTTTACATCATTAAAATACACTAAATACATAATTTTTTCTCAGTACACAGCCAAATCTACAATAAATATTTATAATTATCTAATTTATTTATAAAAGCACTTATATATTTATGTTCATGTATTACTTCAGTAAATTATCACGTTGTATTAATTGCACATAGATGCTTGGGACTTATGTATTAGGGCACAGCTTCCTATTGATCATTAGACATCAACATTAGGGCTTGATTAATGTGGGATACAGTAATCGTACATGGAGGTTGCTGCCACGGTTCTCCATCTACTTGCATTGCACACGAATCTTTCAATATTATCTGTGAAATGATTAATTTTTCATTGGTACTTTATAAAATAGTGTTTTGTAATTAGATAGAAGTAGGAATTTTACTTTAACAGTCGTAGCTTGACCAAGACGAAGTGGTTGTGAAAGACCGATTTGCATCTGAGCTATGTGAAACGACGAATACACTGCGCATACTTCGACTCTTTTATCATTCATACTTTGTATTCCAATGTGATCATCTTTACAGATTAGTTTGTTTTTAATAAATCAAGAAATTCGTAAAAAATGCCCTTATTTTTAGTCAATGCAATGAATGGCTTACCTTCGAGATTCATATTCCACAAATCAACACCAGCCCCCCACGATGGAATATTGAGTACGACGATACTTTCAATTGATGGTAATTCTACTTTCCGACCATCTAAGTACACTTCTAGTCTTTTGTTCAAGTCTTTATAGTCTCTTTCAACAACTTGTTGGGTTCCAAAGCACAAATAAAGAAGCTGAAAGTGTTCATTCAAGTCATGTGTTTATTAAACAAGTCAACACAGCAAACTTCCTTTCGCGTACCATACCTTGTTAAATATTCTGTGACTGAAAAGGTAAAAAGGACTTTCTCGTGCATCATGAAAGCTTAAAGTTACTTGTGCATCCACGCCGACGCTCAAATAATTGTACATATGCAACGATTTTTGCTGGGCTCTAAATCCTAATCCCTTTTTACCGTCCAGAACAACAGACCATCTACAAAATAAGAATATGTAGTACGGTTCCATTAATACAATTTTATTGTAAGATATATTTTTGAAGGTACCTGTCAAGATAAGTTTCTTTTGCCTGTTGAATCATTTGCAATGTGGTGGATATATCTGTGCTTGAATCATACTCTTTTCCCCATCCCATGACTCGTGACAAATCATTTCCAGTACCCAATGGAAGAATCGCGACTGCTGGAAGAGGCTGTAGCAATAAAATGTTTATGTTAAACAATGTATGATTAATTATAACGAAAAATTAAAACCGTTAACACCCATACGTTAAATTTTAATTTATCAATCGTGTCTAAGATCCAAGCAACAGTGCCATCTCCTCCAGCTACAGCAATTCTGCAAGGGACATTTCCTAATAAGCGACACCACTCAAGAGCTGTTATGGGATCACGATCTGACAGATCAACAACTTGGGCAGGATTCAACAGTCTTCGGAATGAGGATAATATTTCAGCTCCCTCATTGTTCCCTGATTTTTTGTTGACTGTAAAAGTTGAAAATACTCTGACTTTTTTCTCCTTCAAGTATGATAAAAATAATCAATTGATTTGATTAAATATATACCAACTACAATTAATGGACTCCAATTAAGCCATAATGGAGGTGTGATGGACTTTAATTGCAAACGACGCCTTATGCTGCTACGTTTGCTGGCTACTTCAAGACTTGTGGGTGGAATAACCATCTGTTTGAAGGCTCCAAAATCACAGATCTAAAATATTGTTTAAAGGCTAAGATTGAACAAAGTTGTTATGAAATTGAGAAATCCAGAATAATATCAATGAATATACTTCGTTAATATAGGCTTTGCATGTTTCATGAGCACATTTTTGACACCAACAGCACCACCAGTCGAAAAGTCCCGGCTCTAGACTGCATTCTTCATCACAAACTTCACACATTGCAATGAGTGGCAAATTACCTGTAACACGAAATAATATTTATAAAAACAGGAATTGGTTGGAAAAATGTACTTAAGATAGCTATTCATATGAATAAATAACAACCCCTTATCCAATGATGCTTCATTGGCTCTTTACTTGATGTAAACATTTTCTTGCAATTGAACATTTTGTCTGCTTTTTTCATGCATTCATGATCTGCACAGACACCACAAGAATCACAGTATAATCCATTGACAGCTAACAGTAGTGTTTCACAAACATTACAAAAATAAGCCTGTAAAAAATGTTGATCAATTAAACGACATTAACATTTTAAAAGCAAAGAATACTTTATTGTATTGTTTACCCTTGATGATGTTTTGATGACTTGCCAATTATGCTTTTTACTATCTGTAATATGTACTTTAAACTCTCCAATCAAAAACCTTACCACGTTAAAGGTGACAACGAATATTACCATCGTTGAAACTGTGGGTACAATGCACCCATAAATGCTTTCAGTCCACATAGTTGTAGAAAAGGTTTAAGAATCTAAAAAAAACACTATAAACCACTTGAGTGTAATTTGAGAATTTTGCAGTTTCCTTCTGCGGTTATTTACAAAGTTTCCGGTATGAATATGAAATCATCAGGTGAGTAGGTACTACACCTAAAAAATCAATATCCAACACGCGCATATTTATTTACAATAACAACTTACGTTTATTTAACAAACTCGAAATAAAAAGACAATTGAATCCTCATTTGTTTTGGCCGGAATTCCCATCAGTAATAATTTTTTTCGACTAGCCATACGTCGAGCCCAAAATATTGACAATGACATTTTGACACATACAAGTGACAACTAAGTCGTTGTACAGAAGCCCTATGAAATTGTTACCACGTTTAAATATATTTGTGAGATCGTTCATATTTAAGGCAATTACTTACGAAAAAAGCGTTAATCAATGAGAATTTTAACAATAGTTCAATGCGTTCAGCGTATCAGAATCGCGCACTTATCAATCGCGTATGCAAACAATGTCAAAGCTATCGTTTGGTTGGTTTATTTGAAGTTGGCAGGTTGGCAGCACAAAAAACTATATATAAGTAAGCACGATTTTTACGGACGTCAAACGCGTCAATAACGCGTGTGGAGACTGCGGCGACTGTGGACGTGTGGACTGTGGACGCAAGCAGACGAAAAAAAAGACGAAAAAAAAAAAATTTTTATCAGCGCTGTGTCTAGTGATATATAGTTTTCTTCTCAACTTTTTTCAAAAAATCAGCCCCAGACCAGTCGATATAGTCGACACAGCAGAGATTGCACTTACCTATTGTAGAATGCTAGTGGTACAGGTTCCGTTTACTGTCGTATCAACGACCGTAAGTAAACAGAATCTGGATTACCGGCATTCTACACTAGGTAAGTGCGATCCCCACTTTGGTGACTCTAATGCACATGTGTATGCGGCCTACAAAGCGCCAACCTATAAATTTATATCACATGTATACCCACAGTCACAACTGCTTGTGTAAATAGACATGCATGTAGTAGTCATTTTACGATTTCTATACTTCATATATACATGCGTAAGTAACAAAAACAAACTATCGGCGGATGAATAAAAGGTCTTGCAATATACTCATGTCAACACAACAACATAACACACCAAACCATACAAGTAGAATATCTACACTTTTGGACGTCGATTTTTGGGCAAAAGATAAGTTTTAAACTTGCCGCAAATAGCACAGATAATGATTAATTTTTCAACTTTTTATTTTTTACCTATAAAATTAATTGCGGCTGGTTTATAATCAATAAAATGACACTACTGTAATCAGTAGTAATAATTTTTTGGATCAGCGCCATCTAGCGTTGCGGATTTTTGAGCTAAAAAGTGGCCCTAGAATTCTCAAGGAGAGCTTTAGCGCTTAGAGAAACTTAGCCTATTATAAACCAGCCGCAACTCATCATGTAGCTATAAAATGAAAAAATAATTATATATGTGTTTTAGGCGGCAAGTTACTAATCTATTTTCTACCAAATAATTGACCTCCTGTGTATTTATACTTTTGAAGATAAATTTTCGAGTAAAAGACAGATTGTTAAGTTGCCGCCAAAAACACACGTATAATTATTTTTTTGTTTTATAGCTACAATACAAGTTGCGGCTGGTTTATAATGAGCTAAGTGTCTCTAAGCGCTAAAGCTCTCCTTGAGAATTCTAGGGCCACTTTTTAGCTCAAAAATTCGCAACGCTAGATGGCGCTGATCCAAAACATTATTACTACTGATTCCAGTAGTGTCATTTAATTAATCATAAACCAGCCGCAATTACTTTTGTTCGTGTTAAATAAAAAGTTAACGCCATTTGTGCTTTTTGCGGCAAGTTTGCAATTTATTTTATATCTGAATGGTGACCTCCTATTTATTTATAATTTGGAGTAAAAGATACATTGCAAATTTGCCGCAAATAGCACAAATGGCGTTAACTTTTTATTTAACACGAACAAAATTAATTGCGGCTGGCTTATGATTAATTAAATGACACTACTGTAATCAGTAGTAATAATGTTTTGGATCAGCGCCATCTAGCGTTGCGGATTTTTGAGCTAAAAAGTGGCCCTAGAATTCTCAAGGAGAGCTTTAGCGCTTAGAGACACTTAGCCCATTATAAACCAGCCGCAACTTGTATTGTAGCTATAAAACAAAAAAATAATTATACGTGTGTTTTTGGCGGCAACTTAACAATCTGTCTTTTACTCGAAAATTTATCTTCAAAAGTGTAAATACACAGGAGGTCAATTATTTGGTAGAAAATTGATTGATAACTTGCCGCCAAAAACACACGTATGATTATTTTTTCATTTTATAGCTATATGATGAGTTGCGGCTGGTTTATAATAGGCTAAGTTTCTCTAAGCGCTAAAGCTCTCCTTGAGAATTCTAGGGCCACTTTTTAGTTAAAAAATCCACAACGCTAGATGGCGCTGATCCAAAAAATTATTACTGTACTTACAGTAGAGCTATTTAATCAATTATAAACCAGCCGCAACTAATCGTGTAGATAAAAAACAAAAAAGTTGACATTGTTTATACTGTTTGCATCAAGTGTACAATTATTCTTTTGCCCGAAAATTGACCTCTAAAAGTATAGATATTCTACTTATACATGGTTCAATAAAATCGACCAAATGGCACTACTTAGTGGTGATTACTATATTACTACACATAACTTCGCGTACATCTTACACCGTGCTCTTTTTACCAAAATGATAAAATCAAAGGCTGGTATTCCGCAAATGCTGCCAGCAGTTAATAAGTTCGTTTGGGGCTTGGGGCTTAGCTTGGAACAGCTCGGAGCTCCTCCAAGCTCCTCCGAACTTTGCCCCAAAACAGGCGTTTTGCTCCTGATGTGTATATAATATATTATATATAGTGCAGCCACGAAAAAAAAAAAATGTAGCAGACGATGCGGGCAGACAGAACCCGGTCCGCGGTCCGCGTGCTGCACATATGCATGCATGTGCTCTTTACGCGACTAAGAAGCGTTACCAAAGTTGTTGAAGCGGTGTACAACAGTGCGTTTTTGTGAATTTGTGATAGTATGCTACACATTTAAGTAAGAAACGTTGACATACATTTCAGGGATTAGAATATAACTCGGTTGTCATTCACAAGGGATTGTTACCACGTCTTCGTGGGAGGAAACAAATTGTAGCCCAGTAATAAAAGGAGTGCATCCTCGAGAGGATGTCGTGGCTATTGGGCTCGTACTACAAGCAACCACCACAGGAGCCACCCGGAGGTGCCGGTGAAGACGTACATGCCGGTAACCCAGGCGGCGTTGGTGGTGCTGGAGGCGGTGGAGGTGGCGGTGGCAAAGGAGAGCCTCCGAAGAAAAGCCAAATGGAGGCCTACAGGTTCGATTCGACGGCCTTGGAGCGAGCTGCTGCCGCTGCCAAGGATCTTGAGAGATCAGGTGTGTACTTCTTTTATCACAACTGTAGCGACGCACCCTAGTTAGTTCATGACTTATGTAAGGTTACGTAAGGGTGGCTCCTACGCCGATTTCGAGGTTAGGATAGCGGCTACCCATGCGGGTGACGTGAAAATGGTCTGATCTGATGTAAGGATCGGGCTTTTTTCTTACATACTATTACTATGATCGAACTTCCGAATTTTTAATTTTTCTTTCAGTCATCAAGAGCTGTTTTATAGAGATCATTTAAATAGTTGTTTAATTTTTCAACTAAAGATTAGACACAAATTTAATTAATTTGTTTGAAAAGCAATTTATTTTGTGTCCGTAGAATCTTATTAGTTGCACAAAATTGTTGATATAAAATTTTATTTCCACGAAGCAATTTATGTAATGATTAAATTGTACATTTTATATTTAACGAATTACACAAAATTCCTGCATATTTTCCAATATACTCTCGATTTTTCAAGAGTTGAACTGTAAACTTTTTTTTTATTTCATTTTTTATAAATAAAAATATCTTCATTAATATTGTCATTATTATCGATTTAGATATTGTACTTGAAATGTAAGCTTTTTGTTGCAACAAATTTTTTAGCAGTTGATAATACTTTAGAGTGCCATTTTGAGAGAAAGTAATTTTTATTGAAATTAAAAGTGTAACATAATTAAAAATTTAAATGAAAAAAGAATCTTGTACTCGAAATTTTTAATGGTATTGTATCAGAGATTGATAAGAGGTATAAACGTATTTTTTAGCTCATGCAAAAGAAGCACTTGAACTATCAAAGCTTCAAGAAGCAACGAGACAGGCAGAAATGCAGAAGGAAATGAAAAAATATGAAGCAAGTATTGAACAATTGAAAGCAGAGTCTAAAAGGGTGGAAGGAGAAGAGCGCAGAAAAACATTGCAAGAAGAAACCAAACAGCATCAATCGCGTGCTCAGTATCAGGACCAGTTGGCCAGAAAAAGATATGATGATCAACTTTCACAGCAACAGCAGATGAACGACGAGAATCTGAGAAGACAAGAGGAATCTGTTGCCAAGCAAGAAGCAATGAGGAAAGCTACTCTTGAGCACGAAATGGAACTTAGGCACAAAAACGACATGAAAAGATTGAAGGCTGAAATGGAAGCAAAGGCTAAGATTGACAGGGAAAATCAAGATTTGAATTTAGAAAAAATCAGGTTAAAAGCTTCTGAACACAGAGTCACGGTTCTAGAGTCTATTAAGTAAGTTATTATCAGCAAATACCAATTCTTCTATGAACTTAATTTGACAAACAAAAATTGTATTTTTAAATTTAAAATAATTACTCAAAAAATTTCAGAACAGCAGGTTCGGTAATTGGCTCTGGTGCCTCGGCCTTACTTAGCGATTGGGATAAGGTTCTGGTTGCAGCTGGTGGCCTATCTCTCTTAGCTCTCGGCGTGTACTCTGCTAAGGGATCGACTGGCGTGGCGGCACGTTACATAGAAGCACGTCTCGGGAAACCATCTCTAGTGCGTGAAACTTCCCGCTTTTCAGCCATCGAGGCGGTGCGCCACCCTATACAGGCGCTAAAGAGGCTCAAACCCAAACAGTCCGATGCTCTTCAGGGCGTTGTACTCGCGCCCAAGCTTGAGGAGCGGCTACGTGATATCGCCATTGCCACAAAAAACACCAAGTACAATCGTGGAATGTACAGAAATATCTTGATGCATGGTCCTCCCGGAACTGGTACTGTCTTTTAAACGATATTTTTCGTCAAGATGAAGATTTAACAATCATTTGTTAATTATTTTAAGGTAAAACGATGTTCGCAAAGAAATTGGCCGAACACTCAGGTATGGATTACGCTATCCTGACGGGAGGTGATTTGGCTCCACTGGGACGTGACGGCGTCACTGCCATCCATAAAGTATTTGACTGGGCATCGACATCGCGCAAGGGATTGCTGCTTTTCATCGACGAGGCCGATGCCTTTCTGCGTAAACGCTCGAGTGAGCATATAAGTGAGGATCTCCGAGCTATGCTCAACGCTTTTCTATATCGTACCGGTGAACAGAGCAACAAGTTTATGTTGATGTTAGCATCGAATACGCCCGAGCAGTTTGATTGGGCTGTCAACGATCGCCTTGACGAAATGGTAGAGTTTATATTACCAGGCAGGGACGAGCGAGAGCGTCTTATCCGATTGTACTTCGAAAAATTTGTATTGCAACCCGCGACCGAAGGCAAGCGTAGGTTGAAACTTGCTCAGTTCGATTACGGCATGTTGTGCACCAAAATGGCTAACATGACTGAAGGTATGTCTGGCCGTGAGCTGTCCAAGCTTGGTGTTGCTTGGCAAGCTGCAGCTTACGCATCTGCTGATGGCGTCCTGACTGAACAAATGGTGATTGACAAATGCATGGAGGCTGTCAGACAGCACAGACAAAAGGTACATTTTTTTTCTTTCGTTTTCTGTTGAAATTTATTCTGCTAAGATTTTAGTTTTCCGGGTTTATAAATGGTCGAATAATGAAATTATTAATCACGCATAATTTTTATTTTAGGTTCAATGGCAAAGCGAACAAGAAAAGAATGAATCGAAATCTATATATGCCAGTGAAAAAGACCAATCAGTGGCTCCTGTTAGTAGCAAAACTGATCGACAACATGAAGACGAAAACCAAAATATTGGCTCTCCAGCTCTCAGTACCTAGAATTACTGAGTTGCGCACGTTTTAAATAAACGTAAAAAGTGTAAAATGCCAAGTTGTAACTACTGCTTTCGCGTAATATAATCAATTATATTGCCAATGAGAAGAGATGAACTGTAAAATAATGTTTGTGTTAGTCTTTAGTTATAATGTCAATTTAGACTTGTCTTGACTATTGACTCTTGAGTCGTGAATCTGAAAACTTGCTTGTGCCAACTTTCAGTTCCTATGTGTAGTCTATCAATAATTCAAGTGGGTCGCGAATTTTCTTACATTTAATTAATTCGAAATAAATTTTGTCTTAATTAATTGTTATTTCAAGTTTGTTTTGGAATGGAATCCCAAAACTACTTTTAAAAATCACTGATCGATTTATGAATTCAATAAGGCTGGAGTTCGTACCAATGTAAATATAATTCGACATTTTTTCATTGCGTCTTTTTTTTAATCTGAATGTACAGGTTGTGTATAGAAAATAAAAAAAGAACATGTTGCATTTTACAGTGATTTTCATTTACGTGGCCGAGAACTCAGTGTGTAATATAGATAAACTTTGATAATAGTTTACTTGCACAAGTATTTTGTAAGATGACGTTATAAAAATGTTTTAGTTAATTTAGTGGAAATGTATAAACGATAACCATAAAAATATAAGTTGTTGCAGTTGCTACGTTTCTGGTTAAAAATGTAGTTAAAATTATTAGAGTAATCAATACCTATTTTTCCACTCTTGTAGTAATAAACTTATAGCTACTGTTTTTTTAGATTGTAAGTATTTTTCTCCTCAACATCAACTTAGAAAGGGATACACAATTCATCATAAATAAAAATGTTTATTTTATCTTTTTGTAAAACAGATAATATACAGTTCATGTAATTTCACCTATTTTCTCCATCATACATAAAAGAATACTGTTGTTAGTGTTGAAATGCAACTTATAAGTATAACGGTAAATTTTAACACACATACCACAACCAAATTATCCATGTGATGTTTTGGGCAAAATTAAGTTCCTAGTTTTTGTTAAGAAAAGTTTTCAATTTAACAATCATTTTGACCTAAACAAATTACTTGACGAAAATTCGTTCATCATAATTAGGATTGTAGTTATATCACGAAGTTCACCCTCAAGCAGCATTAGTAATGTTTTACGACACACAGCCTTGAAATAATCAAGCGTTAATGCTTTTTTTTGTCAAAGTGACCATTATTTTTTATATGTACACAGGAATAATAAGAATAGTTTTATTTGATCTATAAGTCGCTTCATCGCCAACAATTCGTTTATAATTACTGAAAATTAACGACTCAACCTTTGACTATGTGCAATTGATGGCAAGTACTCATAGTAAGAAATATAGAGATTTGTTTCAAAAAGTTTCTCATTCATTTGATTAGACTCAATTACTTTAAGTTCAACTATTATAATTTAATTCAAATGACACTAATAGTGTCTGGTAAACAGTAAGCCATGAAATTGAACGTCTAATCGCTTTTATTTCACAAAAAATGCAACTTTACTTCCTTTACTGAATAGATCCGAAATTGCCTTTGCAGTGTTCACAGTAGATTTACGTCTATAAGAACACTGACAAACTTTTGCTTGATCTATTCCGATATGCAGTTGTAAATACAATTAACATACCTAGCAATAAATGCAGCTACGAGTATCAACTTTACACATGTTCATCTTTATTTGAACAAATGATTATCATCAGTCTAAATCGTAAAAAAAAAAAAAAAACAATCATTGGTATGTATTTGAGGTGTAACGACCTCAAACTTATTTAAAATTATTTTTTAAATTCATAGTCTAATCTCTAACTCGCAGACCCCAAATACTGGTCCGCTTATCGCGAACAGTAGGTCTCGCCACAGAACTAAACATGAACTTATTGAGCTCAACATTGCTGTATTTGGATCGAAAAGCCTTGAGTAAATCCTCGGATAGAAGTCCAAATATATCAAGGGACCGTAAATTTGGCATCAGCGGCAATTTGCAATGCATCGGAGTAGGAATACTATAACAACGACTGAATGAGAGATGTTCCAGTTTTTCCAAGGTACTAACAGCATGAATTGCATTTTCCGTGAGCCTTGAGCAGTCACTTAAGTCGAGTTCCACCAGTCCTGGACACTTTTTAACTAAGTCTTTAAGATCTGTAATGAAAATTGAATAAATTAACGGTACAATAATTAATGTCTGCTAATAACAAAAAAAATACATTAATATGTTTAAGACATACTCTCATCAGTCAAGGCTTGTTTACAACCAGCAATGTTTAATCTTGTGACGGAAGATGGTAAGTATTTACACAAATAATCCATTGATTCTGAACCTAAACCACACCACGCGATGCTGAGAGATGATAATCTGAAACATTTTTAGTCAACTATAAAATAAGTTCAAGACGAAAGAATAATTTATAACTAATAAACGTTAATGAATTTACTTTGACAAATTAGTAATATATTTCACGCAGTCCAAGTTCAATCCTTCGCACATAGTCAAATTAAGAACCTCCATATCTTTGTTCTTACAGATGTTTTCACAACAAGATTGGTTCACGGTACACTTTTCCAAGGACAGTTTTTTCAAGTATTTACATTTAGAAAACAAACACGCTAAGTCTTCTGGAAAGATGACTGCCATTGATAAATCTAAATATTGGAGTCGGCTAACATAATTCTCCATGAAAAAATCGCTATTTTCGAAGAAAGCCGGATACTCGACTTCAGCTTTTGCTAATCTTAGAATCTGGACGCCTCGAGGTATAATGTGTCCTAGAGCGCCTTCTCCCAAAATTTTGCCACCGAGATCAAGTCTCGTCCACAAAACTTCGTCACGAGCTATTTGATGCCACCGTTTGCACACAGACATGGAACGAACCTAGATAATTTTATAATTAAAAAAAGTCTTGTTCAGACTAGTGCATGTATTATTGGACTATTAAACTTAATTTGTGTACATAATGTTGTTAAATATTTATATAAAACATACTTTACATAATTTTGCAATATGATTTTTAAGATTCTGGTCAAATAACAAATTGCATAAGTCAAACTCAAATAGTTAGGCAACATACATATATGGCAAAACAAATTTTGATATAAATGATTCAAAAACTTGTCTACTTACTAGACTTTTCTTTGGAAGCCATTTGAATATCATTAGAATTATTTCATCTGAAACTATATTGAATTTATCTTCTCCAACAATAGATTTTTTCTTTTTTCTTTTGTACAATAAATAAGAATCTGTGCAGGTTTTGTCTGTAGCATCATTTGAACAAGTGGTAAAGTTTTCTTTACATTCTGAGAAATTTTCACTTTCTATTCTAGAGGAGTACCCTGACTCATTTGTTGATGAAAAATTTACTTCATTAGTTTCAAATGCATCCAACCTGCATAGACAAAGATAATTAATAAAAATGTGCAAGACATAAAACGTTTAGTCAAAAGACTTTCAATAAGCTATTTAAAAACGTTTACATGTTGGTAAGTGTAACTCAAAGCAAGATTAATATGATTCAGTACCTCACTTGGTATACATTAGATTTCATTTTAACATAGACTAATAATCTTTATAAATTGTAAGACACATTACCTGTCTACATCTAAGGATTTCAGTACTTCAAAGCTTGCACTTTTATGCGATTCTTGTGATCCATACATAGAGTCAACATTTTTCAGACATCTCTCTGCTTCAAATTTTTTTGGTGGAATCGTGCATTCTTGTGTCTGTAATGTTTTAAGACTGTCTCTGCTGGCTTCTCCATCAACAAGCATACCTACACCCATATCCTCTAGCATCTCTGGCTCTATCAGACTTGTATCTCCAGAACATGACCATGATTCCGTTTCTTTTATCTCTGGACTGTTTACGTTATTATTGCAACCGTTATCCAGGCGCATTCGTTTACTGTAAATATTATGAAATTTAGCAATTTAGATATAAATAGTTGGTGTTTTTGTTATTCTGGTGTGCAAAGTTCAAGTTGAGAAATGAAAAAATTAACCAAACACAAGGAAAAGTAAAACAGCGGGTAAACCTTCAGACATCGGTTTTACAGTACAGCACTTGACAAAACCATCAAAGTGAGGTTTAGCACGACACGCACGCACATATTTTAAAGTGAAAAATAACAACAAAGTCGACCAAAAACTTTGAATTAAAAATAACATTTACATTACACGTTTATTTCAATAAGACATGAAAACGACAACGAAATAAACAATATGTTAAGGATAGAAAGGAGAAAAACTACTGTACCGTGGTTGGGCCTGCATGGCGCGTGCAACAAGTGTCTTTGGTAACAATTGCAATTTGACAATAACAATACGCGCAACACAGCTGCTGCAACGAGCATCGGCGAAAATCTCTAACCACTGGAAACATTAAATGCCTATCCGGACGTGCCAGGTGTACAATTTTCCGATTGGGCACACAGGTGCATTTTCAACTGCTGTGCAACACTCGAGGGCCCACTTTGAAATTGAAAATGATAACTTCCAACGGTCGTTACAACTCCAATTTCGCGTAAGACACGAGAGAAAGAGAGACGATCGGTGGCATCGGCCGATACGACGCGGTCGCGGGATAGAGGAGACAAGAAAAGGAAAGAGCGTCGGCGCGGTCCAGCCTTTTCGGAGCGCGCGCGCGATAACTTTTGATGATGCAGTTTCTTCTGCAGAAACGAAAGGCTAAACAGCGCGAGACGCGCGGGACCGACGACGCCAAAACGCGGGAAAAGCCCCTCCACCTACCTGCAGTCGTTGTACCAGCAACTTTCGTCCGACATTTTCTGATCTCCGGCGATCGTCCGCCGTGCCCTGGGTACGAGTTTTCTCGGCGCTTTCCGAGCACTTTCCGCTCGACGCAGGTGTCACGCGCTTAGTAATTGTTGGGTCCAACATAACCTCACAAATTTCACAATGCCCAAAATAGATAGGCCCCCCATCCCCCACCCCCCCCACAAAAATTTACACAACACATATATATATATATATAACTGTGTGTAACACATGCGACGTAACCTAACCCGAAATGCGCGCGAACATTTTGAAATCAACTTCACACGGATGCGCACGTTCCTTTCTTCCCATATAGAGATATTATAATACCTATGTTTCTTCCTCGTTAATTTTGAAGAGGATTTTTTCTTGTCCAAAGCTTTTTATCTGTTTTTTTTTTCATTTTTCCAGCTAGTGTTAAATTTTGTTTATTAAATCGAGTAAAAACATTAGTTTATCATTAAAACAACCAGTACTTCAGAGGCAGCCACACATAATGTTTATATATACTGCTTTTATCGAAGACAGAGATGAAGACGAATTATCATAATAATGCATTATTTATGAAGGACACCTAAGACCAGTGATCATATTATTATTATTTTGTATGTTGATAAAACTTTTGTAAGGCTGTTTAAAAATAAAAATAAATTTCTAGAAAAATTCATCCCAGGGGTGATAGAGTCATTACCAAAGAGGCAGACGTCAAATGCCGTTACTTGCTGCAGGGTGGAAAGAAACAATTTTATACGCTATTGTTGCATTGTTCATTCATCAGGTGTACGGAGAAGATAAGGGGTGTTCTCGCGCTTTTTTCCTTTCGTATCGATAACAAGCGCTTGGGCGTAGTTTATATAACTCTCGACGCGGAACCCGCGCGCGGTAAAAAAAAGCGCGCTTCTAGGCTGAACGCTATCAAAAGTAGTTAAGATTTATATGCGCGCGGGAAAAATGCCTCTCTCCCTCTCTTTTGCTTCGCTTATCTCCCGCTGAATATCTTCTCGTGTGTTCATCACATGGGTGCTTCGCTTTCTTGATTGTAACAGGAAACTAGCATGATCAAATAATATGGACGCACGTAATTTCGAGACAATTTTTCAAAGTGTTCTGTTTAATTATATGGGTTTCACGTTTGAGCTGCAAAAAAAATTCTTTTTAGTTGGATTATTTTTAAAATTTTTTCGAAAAAGAAATTTTTAGTTCATGTACATGGATATTATTTTTAATGCCACACGTAGTTAGTCAAACCTAAAGGCTTACGGATGTTTTTTTTTTTTTTTCATTCATGGTTATTTTATTTTTGTGGTTCCTTTTATTTTTTACGTAAAGAAAGTGTTAGACCTGATGAAAAAACGGAATATTTATATTAATTTCTTTTATTTTGCCATCATTACAGTAAATGTTCACATACCTTTGGCTTTTTTGTCTTTATTTATTAATAATTTTAATGTTTTTTGTATCTTAGAAAACATTTATACTTAATGTTACCTTTTTGAGCAAAACAATGTATTTATTAAAATTTTTTAGCCAATTGTATTCACGTTTGTACCTATGAACAACACATTTGTTTAATTATCAATGTATTTTAATGGGTAAACAAATTTTCAAAAAATTTTACATCCATGCAGAACTTTATTCATACGAGATGAGCTAATTTTTACTAATAAAACAAATATCGATAATAAACCTGAACCCATTACTTAAGTCTTTTTACTCAAATAAAGTAAACATTCGTATGAATAGATAAAGTGGCTAAATATATTTTTAAAAATTTCGATTTTTATTAATTATTTTATTTTACACCAAAAGGAAAAAATTTAAATTATCGCTACGTAATGTTCTGTAAGAAAATTTTTAACAGTTTACAAATTTACTTTGTTTCTTTGCCCTGAAACATAAAAAAAGGCTTATTGCTATAAGAAAATTTTTTAGTCAATTACAAACGATTTTCATCGTTAATAAGGCCAGATAGTCTTGTAAAAAATATATCTCGTTTTATTTTTTCGCTATGGAAACTTTTTTTTTGTTTTCGAGGTCTAAATAAAAATATTTATATCATACGAATACTCTTTTTATTTATTATTTTCGCACCAACACGTATAACATATTAGGTTTGTATGCGTTGACGAATTTGTACAAGTAAATAATTCGTAATTGTTGACAACACAATCCGTGTGTCAGATGAACGAGGGATTACATAAAGAAAGAGATAGAATTAGGTTAATAAAAATGACTTTATTAAAAATGAAACAACTGTGTATAATGGCCGGACGCCAGCGCTTACCTACGCCAATCGCTTTCCAAAAGCTACTGCCCTATCCTACGACGGTTTGCCTCGACTCTCCTCCGCTACCCTTCCCCTTCCCCGCTGCTCTTTTGCGTTTTAAACTAGACGACCTGCGCGCGCCGATTACTGACGTCCGGTTTACATGAAGCTTAAATATATTTGTACATTTCAGCGATATAACTTATAAGTATGAGCGAAGCTGCGTGAACCATATTTCGCGACGGTCAGCGACCGACAGTGACCGTTCCAGTCTTGACATCCCCTACTCGTCAATCCGTATATTCCGGGGCAGAGTACCTTTCGCCTGAAGAACTAAGGTAGATCACATTAACTACCTCTCTGAAGGTTCGATCCACATTTCATTAACTCCCAGGGATCTCATGGTTACAAATTTGGGCGTGAAGGCAAGCGGAGATACAGCTCCGCCCCTGATCGGCACTCCGCCACCGTGAAAGAATTACCGACCTCATACGGTCACTCGAACAGTCCCAATCAGTCGCCCACCTATAGCAAATAAAATACACCAGAACGTCCAGTGGTCACAAACCAGGTTCTTTACATATCGGACCAGACATATGCCTGCATCTCCCACTTCTCACATCAGGACAGCGGCTCTGTCCGCAACAGTAATGGTATATTGATATTTTTATATTTCTTTGCAGTGTAAATATACCCTGGCTGCTCATGTGATGTTTAGACTGTACGATTTTAATATTGTGTTCGGTTGCTCCAGATTTCTCCCTATCACCTCTTAAAAATGTTACAGTGAAAAAAATGCAATTTTCTCAAGTTTGCGCTACATTTTGTTCAACAAAGAAATTTTTTTCAACAATGGAACTAAATTTTAAATTAGCTATGCTTCATATTTCATAGAAGCAAGTGTAAAAAAAGTCATGCTCTACTTTCTACTACCGTAAATAATTATCAAGATAAGTATAATAAATAATGTCAGTTATATTTTTGTTGAGTGCCTATAAACTGTTAAGTAAATATTTAATTGGATAATTTGTTAATCGCTCATACGTATCAAAAGAGAGCGTGTTTTAATTGAACAATTATCTCTATTTAACATAATTGTTGTACTTTCTTTAATAAGTCACGTTTCCGACAAGTTTAACATTTACTTTATTTGGTTGTAGACGAAGTTTATTGAGTTTGTAAAAAAATTGCAGCACATGCTCATTGACACGAATTGTGTATTTAATTTTATAGATTTTAAAAACGATCACTAAAAACAATTTTTTATTTTCAAACAACATAAAATTCGGAAAGTAAAAAACTAATTTTTTTCCTAAAATTATTTTGTTAATTCATTGAACATTTGAGTGATTTACAATAGGTAAGCATTTAAAAATTTTCCAGTGCAAGAAACATACAAGAAATATTTAATCCATATTGCAAGGTCATTAAAAAGCAGTAAGTTGCATCAAAGCATAAAAGCAATATGGCTTATTTACACAAAAATTTTCAAAACCGAAGATTTTTTACCAACTTTCAGTTAAATTATCTTGCATACCAACATTATTAATACATAAACAGTATTTTTGGTTAATATTGCATTATTTTATTTATTTATCACGTCTTCATTACAATAATTGTTTTGAAATATAGCAACAATAAACAGTTATTGGCAGAAAAAAAATTTTAACTAATACTTTTTGTTTATTTTCAACAATAATTGGTTACATTACATAGAAATTACGAAAAAAAAAATTTGAAATCAAAATTTGATTTATATAAAACATTTATGGATTGTCAATGCAATATATTTACAAAAAGTCGAATGCTTGTAAGAGTTTTGATTACATATACAGACTTAGGCATTCATATTTTTTAACTTTTTTGGAAGTATAATTTTTTGCTGTTAATGTAATGAAACATTTATTGTAATTTTTTTTTTTAACTAATACTTTTTTGCAGAAAAAATAGTGATTTATGATGCGATTAAAATAAATAAATTCTGTAATTCATAGCTAAATTTTGTGGGTTTATAAAATAATTTTTCATATTTAGTGGAATACCAATGAAGTATTGCACAGCGATTACAGAGCCATTGCAATGATTATATTTGATTTGATTTTCTCGATATTGTAAATATTGTTGTAGTATGAAAAAAAGTAAAACTTTTAACACTATCATAGTACGTAACATACTATTGAAAAAATTTTATGTAATATTAAAAAAATTAAAAATATTAAATATTTTAGCAAAGCTTTTACGAATTGAAAAAAATCCTATGCAAAATATTATTAGGTACGTATGGCAGAAAAATTATGGCAATTCGATGTACTATTCAGGATGTATTGTTGAAAAATATAGTTATATTGACATTTTTATGAATCGAATCACCTATAATTTGTATGCACTTGTTGCGTAATTAAAAAATGTATGTAACTTTGGTGTGTTTCGTAATATCGCATAATAAATATAATCGCATATAAATATCTTCCACCCAAAAAAATGACCAAACACGTAAGCCCTCGACGACTTTCAATAAATTACATCCAAAAACCAAACAGCACAAACAATGCAACTCCGTTTACCGGCCAAGCCAACCTGGAAACTCGTCGTTCTCGCGATCCTCCTGAGCGGCGTCCCAAAAAGCTCGTGCTTGCGGATCCTCGCCATATTCCCGCTACCCAGCAAAAGCCACTTCATCCAAGCCGAGCCTCTGATGCGCGGCCTCGCCACCCGAGGACACCAGGTCGACGTCTACAGTCACTTCCCCACCAAGAGGTCCCCGGCCAACTACACGGACTACAGCCTCGCGGGCAGCCTGCCCAGCCTCGTCAACAGTTTGACCTACGACTGGTGCGCCGGTGACTCCATTGGCATCTCAATACCCGACCTCATGTCCATAACCGGACCCCCCGTTTGCAACCTCCTTCAGCTTCCGGTCTTCCAAAAACTCATCAACGATCCGCCCACGGATCCTCCCTACGACCTCGTCATCGTTGAGGTGAACGCTACGTCTCATACATTATACCTAATAGCCATTACCTTTTGTCTCTCCACATACCATCATTGTACTTGTGGGCTGCTGTCCAGGTGTTCACCTTCAATTGTTACTTTGCGTTCGGCCGTCACCTCGGCGTTCCGGTGATTGGCGTCTCGACAATGTCCCTCATAGAGTGGCAGCACGGGCCGCTGGGCAACCCACCGGAGCTCGCGGCCCTGGGCAGCATATTGTCCCACAACCCGCTGCCCGCGACTTTCGCCGAGCGCCTCTATAACGTTTACGCGAGCGCTTACTACTCGTGGGTCTTTGATCGGCTCACGCGACGCGACCAGGATGCCATCATGAGGAAGTTCTTTGGGCCCGACTGTCCCAGCGGCGTCGACCTCCAGAGGGACTTGGCTCTCGTGTTCGTCAACCATCACCACGTGCTCAACGGACCCAGGCCCCTCGTGCCCGCTGTCGTGCCCATCGCTGGGGCCCACATCGCCAACAATGCCGATCAATTGACGCCTGTATTTTTTTTTTTTTTTCTTTCTTTTTTTTTTCATTCTTCATTCACTCCAAGGTGTTTGCCATTTATGCCATACTGTAGAAAAATGCTTTTGCAGGAGGTGCAACAGTTTTTGGACGACAGCGAGCACGGATTCGTTTACGTGTCTTTCGGATCGGTGATCAAAATTGAATCTTTTCCGAAACGCTTGATGGACGCGTTTTACGGTACTTTTAAGGAAATTGCGCCGGTTCGCGTGATCATGAAGGTTTTCCGGCCCGAGGAATTGGCCCCAGGACTGCCCCCTAACGTCATCACCCAAAAGTGGTTGCCGCAAGTTCAAGTTTTGAGTGAGTTTATGCACCACATCGTTCACGTGTAACCCGTGCTTTTGTTTATTTATTTGATTTGATTACACCGTTTTGGTGTAAGGGTAACGTCAGTACATTCGACATAATTTTCAGAGCACAGAAACATCAAAGCTTTCGTGACCCATGGGGGTATAATGGGAGTTCAAGAAGCCGTCTATCACGGGGTCCCCATGGTAGGGTTTCCCATGTACGGTGACCAATATTACAACATCAAATCATGCGCCAAGCAAAAAATGGCCATACAACTTAGCCATAAGGACGTGACGGAGACAGTTTTCACAAAAGCTATCACTGCCATTCTTCAAGACCCCAACTTCAAGTTAGTATTTTCATTTTTTATTGCTTTCAATTGATGCTTACCTCGACTGGGATTAAAACTCAACTGTATCCTCAATGCGGTTGATGCTTTGGCATATAATATACACAAGTGGCAAATATCCAAGCAGAGAGAAAGAGAAGCACTATCCCTTTTTCTGTGTTTGCACGATGTATAATTATTCTGATTAATATTTGAAGCAGCTACCAGAGGTATCCTTATCTACAGTTTAAATCCTAGTTGGCGTAATGCGTTGTTGATTGTTAATGGGTATAATGAGTGCTCGAAAAAAGGGCCGTTATTATAATTCGAACGAAATTTGCCGCAGAAAATCGGCAGAGAAATTACGGGACAGTTTCAGAGATGCGCCAATGAGTCCGGTTAATACAGCGATATATTGGGTGGAGTACGTAGCGCGCCATGGAAAGGATACTCTCCGCTCTCCGATCGTCCACATGCCCTGGTGGCAAGCCTCTTTGCTGGACGTTTACGCCTTTATTGCACTGATGTTGCTTGTTGTATTGTACGTGGCAAAAGTTTCTCTTCAATTGTTTGTTAAAATAATTTTATTCAAAAAGTTTAAACAAAGCTCTGGTAGAAAAGAAAAATTGAATTAAGATATTATCACTGTGACGACAAAGTGTCAACAGTAGTTGCATTTATCCACAGACGTTATTCAACAAATACATTTCGTTGCATTCAGATTTTATGCGTTTTTGCAACTCATTGTCTAGAAACATTGTGTTGTCCGAGCAATAGTTTTTACTGTTTGGAACAGTAATTTTTGGAAAAATATAAATCACTATGCAGAATGGTAAAAATCACAGGTTGCCAAAAATAAAAAATCCTCAGATGGCGTCGTAGATGTGAAAAAAATCTTTAGAAATAAAATGATAAAAGCAAATGATAATCAACTATAAGTGTAAAATGATGTTAAAATAAATCGCAGTTTACCTCTTAAAAAATGATTCAATGATTAAATAGGCACATATTATGTCAAAAACATTACATAAAAATGTGGAATACCCCATTTAAAACAAATTTTCGAACAAGTTTGAATTTCCATATTAATCATCTGCATGGCCACAAAAAGCATCTACAGCAGGTGTTTCGAGTGTGCAGTTTATCGATAAGACAATACATATGATTACAATTTGGGTTAGTTTGCGGTTTAAAAATAATGAAAAATGTACAAAGTTGTGATGACTCTTGCTCTATAGATAGAATCACTTATTTGGCAAAAAAAAAAAAAAAAAAAAAAAAAGCTTTCAATTTGACGTCGCAAGCGCATATTTATAAGGACGTGCAACCGTATCCAATATCGTCAAACTATATTTAGCAAAACACCAAGGCAAGCTCGCCACCTCAAAATGGTATCGTTAAAATTTCAACTCGTCGTGGTCGTAGTTCTAATCGCAGCTGTGAGCACGAGCGCGGGCTTAAACTTGGACATCGGTCGTAGAGTGTCCCATGACACTTTACTCTATTTCGAAGACGTGCACCTAGACGCCAGGCCTGGCGTGAGTCTCGTAACATTCAAGGCTTGCAGAGACGCGGAGGAAATCACCAGGGTCGTGGCCAAAAACATCGGTAGTGCGGTCGGAAGTGCCAAAGTTATTGGTGGTGGGGTTGGACGAGCAATTGTCAAGTTGAAGCTCGAGTCCAAGCCTGGACAGCCATTGGATTTTAGTATCAGTGTCTTTGGTTTCAAGTGAAACTTGAATGATTTATTTTTTATGTTACATCTATCGAAAAATTGTTAATTTCATAACGACTAGCTTATTTAAAATAAATATCGATTAGAACTGAGGTTGGTGCCATTTTTTTTTTTCTCACGTATTTTCTTGTAAACAACTTATATATTTACATAACATTTAGTTCTTGTGAAAAAAAATGACAACACTTGAATGGATAATTACATGGATACTTTAGATTACACACGTGTGATAACAGGCATTGTCTTGAGAAAACGTAAAGCTATTTTAAAATAAACATAACGTGAGCCACAAGTAATGGCTTTTAAAAAAGTAGTTCATTTAAATATTTTTTTACGTGCAGACACAATTACACGAATCATTATAAAATCATTTACAGAACGTTATGTAAGCAGTGTTTTAATATCTTATCTTAATTTAATAATGTGCCAATGATGAAAGCTTTTTTTGACCATGATAATAATCATTACGATAAATACTTTTATATTATCTGTAGATAAGTGTATTTTTAATTTTTGATTACACATATATATGAATTGTTACATCAAGTTTTTAAAAAATCATTTAGATGATATCAAAGATAATAAAAATCATTAGTAGTAGGTTTTACTTTTTTATCATGATATTCTACACAAAAAAGTTAGTACGTATCGATAAAGTAGATACTTACACAAATCACACGCTGTAGCTCGTAACATTCACCAAAGAGTACGCCGCTTGTATTGTATTTTAGTGATAGTGATTTGACAAAAACATTTTTTTATATAGTTTTATTGATATAAAATTTACCATTATGAATTTTGTCAAGTGAATACAGTAAAAATTATTATATTAATTTGATAGTTGGTTTAGAAAAAAATCGGTAGTATCTCTACTCTAGTTTCGGTTTATGAAATAAACAATACCCAAGTTTTTTTGAGTCTAAAAAAAAAAAAAAAAAATCGGAAATTTAGTTATTTCTATAATTTTTTAGTTATTTTTATAAATTATAATTTTATCAACAGGAATATGTAATTATTATGGCTGCGTCTATAGCACTGTTTGTAATCTCATATTACAGTATACTAGCACTTTAAATTATTGAAATATAAAATATAAACAATGAATATTTTGAATGAAGTATACTTGAGTAAGGAATTTTTTAAATATTATCTTACGATATGCAATTAGGAAGTGAAAGGAAAGAATGTCTTGATTCTTAAGATTGGAAAGCGAGCCGTTAAATTTACTGTATGATTGACTATATTTCATAGTTAATTAAGAGTTGAATTGACGATTGAAATAAATTTTTACTGCATCCATTTCAAGTTTTCCAATAATTTTTCTCATGTTGGATACAAACATGTTCTGTCGATCCTATTTTTACTGCAAAGAAATTTACACCATAATGAAATATTCACTTATGGTTAATTAAATAAAATTCATAAATTAACCTGTCACCTTCCAGCTATTCATTCGTTCCCGTATCAATGAATCACATGAAATATAAAATTTTACTACTTTTCAATAGAAAATAGAAGTAAAATCCATAACTTTTATTGACAAGTTAGTTGAAAAATAAGAAGATTATGCTTGATAATGATTTGTATATTTTATAAGTAAAGGTATATTATTTTGTGCTGGGACTTTGCACCACTACCCAAAATTACCTTGTTTCGTTAAGATTCAAGTTCATTGTTCCTACAGTGGTGCGCCATTACCATACAGCTTCTTGCGCGNTAAGAAGATTATGCTTGATAATGATTTGTATATTTTATAAGTAAAGGTATATTATTTTGTGCTGGGACTTTGCACCACTACCCAAAATTACCTTGTTTCGTTAAGATTCAAGTTCATTGTTCCTACAGTGGTGCGCCATTACCATACAGCTTCTTGCGCGCGAACATAACGCAAGTTTGTAGCTATATATTCAACGCACGAACCCATATGGATAAAAAAGCTGCTACCATATCTCCTGTCCAACGTGCCAGCAATAATGTCCGACGTGTCGCTAATCGGCCAAAAACGAAGGAAAATAATAAGTAGGCCAAAAAAGCCCATTTATCGCCCTCTACACTCCTCTTTCGCTCTATTCTGCCTTTTTTTTCCCATCATACATTCCTCCTTCTCTTGGGACGCGTCGGCTGTTTCCTCTGTGACAAAAACGCGTGTCGAAAATTTCGGCGTAACTCAAAAGCCAAGACAAACAAGGGCGTGCTCTGCTCTTTGCTCACACAAGTGCGTCTCTTTCTCGGTAAATCTCGCGGATAAAGCCTGTACAGAAGATAACTCCGAAGACACTATAAACTTTGGTACAACTACTCATAGGTATGTACTTATTGTTACGATTATGCGTACATGTACGGGTAATGTCAGTGGGAGGAAAAAAAAAAAAAAAAAGAAAGAAACGTCGCCCTAGTATTTGCCTGTAATGATATGTTTGTCCGACGTGTCTTTGCTGCGAATGTGTATATTGGAGATTAGAGAGGCACGAAACACCGTAGAGCCGCGTAATTCCAGTAATTACCGGACAGCTTGCACGTAATGGGTGGTATTGCATATCCTTCCCAACACATACGCAATGATTAGACGGATTATTAATGCAATGGTGTAATGGAGGGATCAACTATATTTCTATTGCAGTCTCACAAAAGTTATCGGGAGTACTGAAGAATATTACAAAATGCGGAAATTAAGAGCTTTAGGAAATATTTGGGGGATAATGTTGTTACGACCACGGGAGATCGAGAGAAAGACAAGGAGGATTTGAGAGCGTTGAGATAACTAATCACACCGATCTCACTAATCCACCCAAGGGTATCCCAGAAGCGGGAGAGTCCCTCTCACCTGTACCTTAACCCAGGACTGGCTTATTACAACTCATCACATTTTACAAGGTTTAGCTACCACTACACGAGTTGTGTCTTCAATTACTGGTATAGTGGAATTTTTTTTTTTTTTTTTTTTTTTTTGTTAATCGAGCGTCATCAAATGATAAATAATTGAGGTGATGAGTAATTGTCAAAACAGTGAGAAAGCGAAAGCTTTCTTATCATAAATACCAGAAAAAGACTCGTAATGGCACGCTCTCTATTGTTCCAAAGCCGCAGTATTGTTATCGTTTTAACTAACGCGGCAACATAAATGATATTATTGTTATTATTTTGCAATGTGTATTGAATAATTAAAAATTTTTTTTTTTTCATAAACATTGAGGTGTGGACGAACACTATATAAAATAATCGATTATGATACATAGGAGCGGTGTTTTCCTTTCTTTTAGAAAAAGTTTTATATCAACATGAAAAATGAAATTTTCCTGTGAACGTATATATGTACAATAAAAATAATTAATTTACAAATAATGTGTGTGCGTGAGTTTTTGCATGTGGCATACAACAAACACAACAAATACATTATGAAATAAGGTGTGCGGATAATTTATACGTACATTAGAAACAAATTGTTTAATGAAATGCAAAATACTTGTTTGGATATTACCGATTTAAATTATATGTTATCATTTTTTTTATTTTTTTTTTTATTTAAATCCACTTAGACAAAGTCCATTAGGCATACAGAGTTACCTTTTTTAAATTTACATTGCTTCAGTTAGAAGATACATTGAATATACAAAGATACAATAAATATACACATAAATAGTCGTATGAAGAAACATTATTTAACACTATATCTTTTTAATTAATTAAATTACTTATCATTACTGTTGTTGAGGGTTGCCAAGTCTACAGCAATACAATTAGCTTGAGATCTTTTTTTTGTTTTTGAAGGTCTGTTTGGCTACTGCACGGCATTTTTTGAATTCTATAAATTCGACCTCACGGTCACGCCTCCAATGCGTTAGTACGAAAAAACCTTTTACGATTTAGCACACAATGCCAAGAGACAGAGGGACACGTGTTGACTCGGTCGTGTCACGCACGAGACTCGATATATATTATGTTATCATAAGATGTATAGGATAGCTCTAATTGTTGTTGTTAGTTTTAATCCGATAAATAACAAAAGAAACAGATGATTCGCAATCGACCATCTTGTCGTTCGAATGATTTTAAGCCTAAACATAAATACAACGGGAAAGCCTCGCTAACTTGTGTATACATACATGGACGTACACACATAATTACT